ACTGTACGCAGGGTTAGTTTACAATCACCTGTTCATGTGTACTGAGGATCCCGGAATTGTGTATGTATTTTGTAGGAATGTATTAATGTGTTGTCACAGTTACTTAATCCATAGACCTTCTCTTTTAGAGGGTCTATGCTTATCACTATCAGCCTTAGTTAATGTAGAATACTTTATATTAGCTGGAATTAATTTTCGCTGAAAAGAATTTTTGACAAGTTGAATATATTATTTTCATTGAATCATTCCTTCAGCGAAAATAGCTGAATACTGTTTTTAAGGATTTGGTACGACTAAATACTGTAAATCCAGATAATTAGATCAGTATTATTTATTATATATTTGTTTTCCAATTTTTCATCACTACATCAAAATTAAATTTAAAAAAAAATTAATGATCAATTGCATAGATACAAGTTCTTCTTTATTTGTTTTGGCTCTTACCTTGATGCATTATTATTATCATGAGCTTTAAACTAAATACCAATACTATGTGTGTATATGCAAAATTCTCTGGACAAGAGTAATGTCAAAGCTTGATAATGTATAATTGTATTTGTTTAATATTACTATTATTATTTGCATGTGATTTTGCTATAGTAGTTAATTCGTTTATCTATTCATATTAAGGATTCTTCTGAGTAACCATTGACCAATAAGAATCATTTAATTTCAGTCAATGAGCACTTGGATATTTTTTCACCAATCATCTTACTTGTTATTGCATTTTTTTTCTCCGGCGCAATCAACTCATTTGTATTTCCTGTCTACGTGTTTTTTCTTGTGTTCATGTGTAAGCTGTTACATGTCAGTTGGTTAAGTAATAAACCGTACTGTGTTTTTGCATCCACATAACGTTTTGACCGCTGTTTATTTTGTCCTCAAGCACTCTTGAACGTACTACTCTATCCTCCTCAATTAAAAAGACATTATGATTTATGAAATCCAGAGTGCACACAGCCATTTCCTATAACATAAAGATAGTCTTATTTTTCTTATCATTTGTCTACCACTATTGTTTCTGCCTGTTTGTTAAAGACTTGATATTATTGTTATTTCTTCAGAAATTACCAAATACCCGAAGGGTGACAATACAGTGACTCTGACAATTGAATGTTATAGTAGGAAAATGGATAATGAAGATTTGATGATATCAAGCTGACCACAATGGAAATAATTATTTGTAGAAACCTGCATCTGGTTGGTGTTTGTATCATCCTAGCCAGCTTGACCAATCCTATTAATTCCGTTGAGAGTCTGTTGGATGTTCATATTGTGGTTGGCAAGTTGTTGCGGTATAGCATTCCTGATGGTGCCTTCAGTGGCAATATTCAAGGATACAAGGCAAGTAGTCGTTAAGGTGTAAAGTGTTACATAATTGCGACATAGATAAACAAAGATATCTTCTACTTTGGTAAGGCATGGAACTATAAACCCCAGGAAGAACAACGAAACTAAGAGGATTAAAAAAACCTTTGTCTTAGTTTATCTTACAGTGCTTTCGCTTTTGTTTCCACAACATTAGTCATACTCCATGTTAGTTGCCGCCGATACGCCCGTATCAACTGCTTTGCTGGAAATGGAAAACTTGAAAAAAAAATTTCATATCTGCGCAGTAAAATATTTTGTTCACTACGCATGCGCAAACAAGTCGGTCTGCAGGGTGACCTTCAGTGTACCGGAAATCATGCAACGGGTCGGAGTTTTAGCAAGTTTTCATAATTTTCAATGTCGTTTTTAGATTACTTCTTGTTTTTTCCAACCCTCGAAAAAATAAGGTTGCGAAAGTTTGCGAAACATGGGGTTTGGTATGCTGTTTGTTGTCGAGATATCCCGACTTATTCCGTGTTTCCCTTCGATCGCCAGAAGTGGCAATGTGTTTTTTTTTTCCATTGAATGTCGCTCATTTATCAGTGTTTTTGTCTTGGCGCCATTGTTTTTTTAGGCTATAACCGAAACAACTCGATCACGTGATCTCCCGAAGTCGCCCGATTGACTCCGAAAATGACCGATAGTCGGAGATAAACGTTCATTTGCGTAAATCGGCTTATTTTTTAATGCGACGAAATAAACAATCAAAATAAACATTTGACATCGCGGCAACTATCATAGTTCAAAGGAAACAAAGTGGTTGTTCTTCCTGGGGTTTATAGTTCCATGGGTGAGGGTAGCACAATGTAAGTTTCCTAGTTTATATCCAGTAGTATCTCGCGTATGCTCAGACCGCTCAAGTTTAAACTTCACACATACATCCTACATATTGGACATGCACATGCATTTGTTTCATGATCTGATTCAAGATGGCAGAATGACAGCCACTTAAAGCCAAACACCAGATCATAGTCATGCATGGACGGATTCTGTTCAAACTTGGTACATACATATTAGCTGAACATAATGGTACCTTGATGCATGTCATTTAATTTTTTGGATCAGGTTTAAAATGCCGACTTGTGGCCATTTTGTTTTCAAAATGCAGTTTCAAATTCATACATTATATCATTTCACACGTACATCAGACATCTAATTGTCAGTTTCATGAAGACTTATTTCATACATGTTGCTCGATATTATAGATACAAATATAATACAAATAAAAAAGTTCTTGTTTCTGTCCTTGTTTCATAATGATGCAGTAATTAAACCAGTCCTTCTGTACTGTGCAGAATTTTGATCAAGTGACATTGTTAAACACACAATAGATTTGTGTAACTTTGGAGCTCCAGTGGTTATTTTTTATGTCTTCAGAATTTATTACTTTATTGTACTTTTCATCAAAACCTCAAACATCGGGTACAATAGCAATAAAGATTCTATTCTATTCACATAATAAGAATAAGAAATAGCATTACTCATATACATCAAAATATATAATTAATTCTCTGTTTATTAAGTATTTTTGAATAAAAAATTCTTTAATAACATTAGTTATTGCCTTAATAGTAAATGTTTTGTCTTTTTTTTATTAAAAAATATATTATCAAGTCTGTTTTGAAAACTATCAGCTCAATTGCCTGATAGTGTTAATCATCAATAATGACATTGCTTTTGACTCCCGTGTGCGAAGCACAAAAGGGAGTCTTTGCAGTTACCGTCTGTATGTCTGTATGTATGTATGTATGTATGTCACTTTTTTTG